ACCATTAGACCCAAAAGTTCTTTTAAAGAGTGTTCTCGAACAATCAATTGACTTAATTGAGATTTGAATTCTAAGTTCTAACAGATGCATTCCACAAACTTTTGTAAGTTTGGCCAAGAAATTAAGTCACGAGCAAGGAACTAAAATGTTTACAAGCATTATGTACAAAGTTCTCACTTGTTCTGTTTTCACCTCTGTAGAAATGACCAACCCACTAATGTGCTCAATCTAACTAAAGATTCCCATCCAAATAGCAATTCACATTATAAAACTAGTGCAGGTCAAGTCTGACTCCGATCCTTAGTTCTTTCCTTTGCCTCCCAAACTAGCCGCGCTTTTCGAGAGCAGTAAATCTTTCATCTCCCTGTAAATTTTGAGCTCCTCAAGCGCGTCGGAAGTTTTGCGAGGCTTGAAAAATTCCGAAACTGCCCCACCGATTTCGCCCTCGGGCATTATATTTGAGGAGTGGGAGGTGTAGTAACTGCAATCCTGGCGAAGTGGAGGAGCTGTCCTCAGCATGTGAACGAGGGCACCCACGGCCGCATCCTGGGATTTCTTGGCCGTCGAGGATGTCTGGGAAGAAACTTCCGAACTATTTTGTCGGTCGAGATTTAAGCTGTACGGTAAAAGGAAATTGAATGAGGTGTTGCATGAAAAAAGCTGCATGAATATATAGTAAAAAAGAAAAAAATGTAAAAAGAAGTTAAGGAATAGAAGATTTTATCATAAGATACAATTTCAAGTAAGTATGTGTGAAAGTGATAAGAAAAGAAAACCATTGATCCAAGAATATTATAATGTTCAAGGTGAGTCCTATAAAAATGTTAATTAGGAGTTAAACTAATTAGATAAACATAGTTTAAAGAGTGAAGGATAAACAAATTTGAAACACGTGAGTCGAACTGATGATCGATGTTACCAGCAATACGAATACTTAAATGCAGTACAGAAACCATTCCCAAATTTGTGTTATATACAGAAAACCCTGCAAAAGATTTCAATACTAAACAAGACCCATTTGAAGTTTAATTCCATCTATAGTTCCCCCCTTGATATATATAAATCATTACCGAAACGGCACACCTTAGTCCTTAAATCCATAGAAATATTGCATTTCACCGTTAAAATATAAGGATATCCAGGCCTCAAGAAACCTTTTGAGTGTGTTTGAGAGAGAGAGAGAGAGAGAGAGAGAGATTGCGTGTGTTTTGGATAACTCCAAATTTCAATGGTAGTTTTTTTAATTACCTCAACATGAAAGGTTCAGAAGTATTACATGCACGTGCTGCAAAATGGTAGAAGACAACTACAGTGGGATCTGTAAAATCTAGATATGCAGTTACGATTTCATCTAATGAGTGCGGTATAGAATGAATACATGCAAGCAAAGGACAACATTTCTCTTGTGACACTGCCCTTCAGAACAATGTAAAAGAGGTGATTGATGGGTAAGCAAATCACAGAACAACTTGTAAGGAAAAGCTTGAGGTGGTGCTACTAGATAAGTTTGAGAATAACTAACAGAGAAAAAAATCAGGCTAATTTCCACATGCGTAAATGATGTCACTCTTTTTGCATCCTATCAAACCAGAAATCACACATATAGTGACTACTGTTCCAGAGTATTGTAAACACGTGGCTAAATCAAGCTTTCAAACAAAATTTATGAAAAAATAAAACAGGTACATAAATGATTCAATACCAACGGATTTATAGTTGGGACCCTATAAAGCAAAAATAGTAATTTCTAACAATATTTAATCTCCTCTCCAAGAGAAGAATGTAGACCACACAACGGTATTGTCACATTTTCCATTTCCATTGTTAGCATGGAAAAAATCCAATGTAAAAAACCATTAATTGACAAATGTCGTACGGTAAGCAGAATTACCTCGTCTGGCTATCAGGAGGCTCCACGTCATCCACAATAAATGGGCACGAGAAATCACAGTCGCCAAAATCATCCTGAAAAGACAACCGGCTTGAGCTCCTTGAAAAGCCGACACGTGGCGAACTACTACTCGACAGCAAACTCGAAAACCGCCCTGAATCCTCTTTTGCATCCCGTGACAACTAGCATAAATAAAAAAAGACGTAAAACATTTCTAAAAAACGACAATAAATACCACCAATTACCGGTTCCACTCATCTTATTTGTTTAATAACACAGAAAACTAAACTACCTTCTGACTAACATTTATTGGTGTGTTACTCAATTCTCCACCTCTGAGAGAATTAAGTCTTCTCACACCGGACGACGAGGATTCATGAGATGAAGGATCATACTTTGTGTTTCTAGGAGATAACGGCGGCAGAGAATGCCTATTCGGATCGGACAAATTGGGTGAAAGATATCTTGGGCTTCTGGCCGTCATCGGGTGAGGTATACTCACCGGGCGGCTCTGGAAATGGTTCGAAGGGTATGTAGGCGGGGAAGGAGAGGGAGAAGGCGAAAACGGAGGCGAAAGCAGATCACAATCAGACAACATTTTTTGGTGAATCGGTAACCTTTGATTTTGGTTCCTATGTATATATGTGTCAGTAGGCGAACGCGAGTACTCGTATGGTGAACGGTGCAGAGGAGGGGACCCACTAAAAGGCTGTTGGCTCTGCTGTAAGGAAGCATCCCTGTGGACCCCACTCGTCCAGCTATGGGGCCGCTGGAAAGGCGACGAGGGGGTCAACTGCCTCCCTCTCGTCGGGAAAGATGTTGGGCGGCTCTTTGCAGGTGGATTGGCCGAAAATACCCTCATGGGGTCAGTGAGAGGACTGCCTACATAGTCCGTAATTATCTCCACAGGACACGAAACGAACGAGTCAAGTTTAAAATTAGATAGATCCTCACGGTAGGCCACGGATACAGAGAGGCGGCCTTGTTGGGCATCGACGGGGACAAAATTGTACTTCTTCATCGAATCCTCCTCCTCCCTCGAGAAGGGTGAACTAAATGAGGAGATTTTGTAACTGATTTCGAAATCGCAGTTCTGTTTCAAGGAGCTCCGTTTACGGAATGCTTTGTAAGCCGGGAGGAGCCTCAGCATCGAATAAACCGAACGTAAGAGAATGATCGATTTTTTGTATGTCTTTTTGTGAGATGCATCAATGGCTTGTGGGGAAATTGCACGTTGAGAGTCGTACTGAACCATCCACCTCTCAATAACCGTCTCGTTGAAAATATCTGTAGGGTCTGATGAGGAAGTCGGTTGTTCTTGAACGATTATAATGTCGATTATCATCGGCTCCATTAAGCTTCTGTTCCAGAAGCTCAGGCTATCCATGGCCGACGGGCGGTCACCCAACACTAAATTGAACCATTTGTCGCTCTTCTTTATCTCACCTCCTCGGCTGGGCGGCCGATCGGCGGGGACCCTCGAGTCCAATATAATGTGGAGGCTTTTCAAGAGAAATTGGTTGAGTATTTGCTCAAACCTTCCATGTTCAGCCTGAGGGTAACTGTGCAGATCCATACTTCTACGGTTTTACCCAAATATAATTCTCAAAAATGGGTTGCCACCATCAGCCAGAGACATGGAATTCGACCTCGATTACACACGAATAACCAATCAATCAAAATGTGCAATTAAAAAGGAAAACTAGCCTGAGGTTTGATTTTCTGCTTTGCCCAAACTCGAGCACCGTGATGCATGCTTCTAGGGTTTGTGTGTACACCTGAAACTGAACCCCAGAATTAAATCAACAAGCATATAACCAAACAAATAAAAGAAAACAAAATCGGCACAATCACTGATATGCAGATAAAATTTTGCATGATTAAAAAAATTCAGCCATGCATCGGAAAGCTAATCATTACAGTAACCAATTCATAATCAACATCGAATTCATTATTACAATTAAGATTCATCAAACAGGCATGGCAAGTCCATAAACCAACCGTATATGGAATATCATAATTGAACAACATAGATCGGGAATCTTCATTGGGAATATCCCATTCCTTGTTTAATTCATAACTTCGAGCTCAGCTATCAGATTAAGCAGACGAAAAGGGGGAGAAATCGAATAACATAAAAATGGCAAGCATCCTAAGATTCAGAGCTTGAAAATAGCGATGAACTAAAAATGATTTACTCAATTTCTTCAAAAAAAAAAAAAAACAATTCGAACAAACACTGCAGAGAGCATTACTTCATGAAAACTGCAGAGTCTTGGGATCAAATTGGCAGATGCGTTAGAGAGAGAGAAAATGAGATAGGTAGAGAGCGAGATTGCGTAGACTGCTAGCTGAGAGAGAGAGAGAGATTGAAATTATAATAAGAATAATGTTTAAGGGAGATTTTACATTTTTGGAATCGGGATTTGTAACCGTTCGATCAACTATGCATGACGATTACATGATGATTTAACAGTTACAAATCTCGACAGAATCACAGAATGGTGTAGTAACGGGACTGTAGCATTTCTCAATATTTAATTACTAATCCTTTATTTCATGTAGCTAGCAAGCTTGGTCTGACATAAAAATTAATTTTCATTTTCCAAATTATTATGTTCATTGCATGTAGAATTATGATAAGTATCAGTGTTACAGCTAATCAAAGGCTTAATTAAAAACAGATTACGTGAAATCTTTGATTGAGTGGCCTTATAGGTCATCCATAAGTGGAATTACAAGATTGAGGTTATGATTCATTTGTTGTACACATGTCAAGGTAGTTAATTGATTCAGAATTTGCATTAATTCATTTTTTCAATAAAATAATTATTTATTTTTTTATCCACCGTTGACTTATTTAACGTAACCCTCCCTTCCTCCCTATATATTATACCCGAATGTGCCGAGCCTACGTGACTACTTCTGGTGCTTCGAAATCCTACTTCGCAAAAAATCATGCTTTGTAATTAGGTTTGAACAAATAATATTGATATATTAATAATTAATAATTTAGGTTTGGGCATTACATAAATATTATTTAGCTAACTTAAGTATTTTAATATCTCTTGTACTAATATAACCCTTTATTTCTTTATAATTTTACATAATGAGGCACTAAGTGACTAATATATCCCCGACTTTTGATTTGTTTCCTTCAATTAGCTATTTAATTATAAATGTATTTTAAAAGTCGGTAACTTCTGTATTTCGTATCGGTTTTACATATATAATATATCAAATTAATCATCTTTTGATGATCTTCGATTTGACATCTATATTGTATATATGAAATAAATAAATTATATTTATATTTATAATAATAAGAAATAATAATATTTATTAAAATTCATTAAGAAAATAAAATTATTTCTCAATTGATATATTTATGCTTAATGTAGTTATATGTTGTAAGTTATAAAAAATTATTATAATATAACACATGTAAGTTGCATAAATAAAAAGTGTCATACTAAATATATAATAATATATATATATATTTTTATAAAATGTATTTAAATTTTCAACTACTTTTTCTCATTAATTTTAGATTTTAAAAAAAAATAGCAGCACCTGTGTAATACACGGGCGTTGTACTAGTAATATATACTATGAACAAGTATTTATTTATTCATATATTTCTAACTAATTCTTATCTAACTTATTGATATGCGAAATTGTATCAACGTCCCTGTATTTGTATATATTGAATCATGATATATTTTTTGTATACAGAATTTAGTTCACAAAAAAGATGAACTCTTTTTCGGTGTTCTTTTTTTTTTCTTTTTTTCTTTCTGGTTTCTTCAGGTGAGTAGGGATGTAAATGGGTCATGTTGGGTACGGGTTTTGGCAAACCCGAACTCGACCCGCATATAATTTACCCTACTCAAACCCGACCCGTTACTCGGCTAGTGATCTTCGGGTTCGGGTTGGGTTTTACCCGGCGGATTTGTGGATTTTCGTCGGGTAAACGGGTAACCCGAGTCTTTGGATTTTAACCGACCCATCTCGTTTCATATGAAAATAAAATAAAATAATTTCATAATTAATTATAATGTAAGAAATAATTTATTAACTAAGTTTGACAATAAAAAACTATAAAATCGTACATCCTGGTTTTGGCCTAAAACCTGAAAATTATATTATTTTTAGAATAAATAATGAGATATGATTATTTGTATTTTATAGTCTATTTAATATTATAAAATTTAAAAGTAAGTATTTAATTTTTTATTGTATAATTAACAAAAAATGATAATAAAATTATAAAAAGTAAAATAAATTTAACCATTAATCAAAATTATAATAGATAATTTATTTTTTAAAAATAACACATGACTACTTTTATCTTTATTATAAGTTATAAATATATTTATATATGTATGTATATATATACATGATTCAATGGTTGCGGGTAAACGGGTCAGGTAATAGGTTTGCCTACTATACCCGCACCGACCCGACCCGACCAGGGGTTCAGGTAGAATAATTCTACCCTAACCCGACCTGAAACCCATTCATCTCGGGTTTACCCGATCAAAAAATGCGGGTAATGTTGTAAATATTTTTAATTGGAGTAGAATCCAAAGATTCGACATCGGGTCGTATCACGAGGAAGGTTAGTCGGATTATTCTATGCGAATATTCAATCACACGGAATAATGAAAAAGTCCTAAACACTCTAATTCGATTGGTTTGGTTTAATATTATCAACTACGAATTGAAAAACAAGTAATTGGAAAAGCTAGACAAAGCTAGGAATCACAAGTTCAAACTCAAATAATTATAAAGGAGCTAGAGTATCGGGGTCAATCAATTCCAGTTCTCAATACACTTAACGAGCAATCAAAAGCTCGGTTAAATGCCTCACAAAACTACTCATCTAGAGATCTATCCTCAATAACTCTTCGTAACAAGAGGATAGACATAAACGAGTAATTCTTGAAACAGTCAACACATAAGCAATACTATCACGAACAAGCTTACTCCTAACGAGCCTAGATCGAACGATTTCTCCCTTTTCAGTTATAAAATCGATTAATTAGATTAAGATGGTGATCAAACATCAAAACCCTAGGCTAAGCACAACTCGAGAGGATTGAACAATTATCATGCATATAAACGAAATCGAACCGGAATGATCTTCCCCTAACCCTAGCTAATGGATTTAGCTACTCATCATGCATTCAACATCAAAAAACATAATAATCAAAGCCATTCAATCAATAATAAAACCAAATGAAAGCTTACGATTGAATAATCCAATGTCGAAAACAAGAGCAAACGAATCCAAAAGTCGAATCTCTGAGTTTTTCTCTCCAAGATCGAATCACAAGATCAAAACCAAGAGAAAGTTTTAGTTTTTGGGTGAAAATCCCTAGAGAGTTCGAAACCTAGATCCAACATGAATAATCCCGTTCAAAATAAAAATCTGCTATTTTAAATTCTGAGATCGCGCCTTCCGCGGCCGCGGACAAGCTCGCGGGCCGCGGTGAAGGGATGGTCCGCGGCCGCGACATGTCCCGCGGCCGCGAGTTTTCGCCTCTGTTCGCCGGTTCCAAATTATCGGCCTCTCCGCGGCCACGACTTCCTCCTCCGCGGCCGCGGTGAAGAAAACTAGGCGCGTTGTGCGATTTGTTCACCGCGGCCGTGGGAACACTGTCGCGGGCCGCGGTGAAGGATTTCAGTGACATGGCTGTGATTTCTGGGCTCGTATCCACGCATTCGGACTCGGAATTGGATTCCGTCTTTTCCTACTCGACCCCAACTCATCCGTCTAGATAATTATCCTCGCATGGTCACTTCTCAATCGAACTACCTATCCTGCACATCACCACCGACAAGAAACACAGAAAACCGGGAAAAAGAAACAAGAAAAACCAAAAAACGAACAAAATAAAGAAAGTGCAAGTCACGACACAATTTGGACCAAGAATCAAAGAAAATAAACTAGAATGGGGAAAAATAAATGCAAAATAAACAAGGAAAACACGACAAAAATGGAACGAACAGGTAATCCGACCCTTAAGGTTTTATTGACATCCCTACAGGTGAGGAAAAAGTCGAGGAAACA